GAATGAGTGGCCATTTACCTCCTTTTAAAAATGCAAATGAAGGAAAGTGCAGAAAATGATTTGTTCTGTCACTATATAGCAACCACCGGCGTAATCTTCGTGGGGGCTCCAGGGCGCCAGCCCTCCCGATATTTCTCAGAAGCCCGCCCACGAATATTACGCTGATGTGGTATCGGCTGAGGAAGCGCGCCTGCCCACAGTGCCCAGAATGAAACGCTGCTGGACTCAGCCTCCGAAAGGGGGGGATTCCTGCGGCGGGGCAAACAGGCTGCTCTGGGGCGCTTTCCAAGGGCAGCCGCCTTGGGATCGGGTCAAGCAGCCGGAGCGGAGTGGAGGCTGGACTCCGGGCTGGTTCCTCAGGCGCTGTGGGACTTGGCTCTTGCTGCTGTTCCCTCCCTGGCCGTCTCCTCATCGGCCCCCTTGGTGCCAGAGAGCAAAGGCTCTTCTCCTCCGTCTGCAGCACGGAAAGGGTTAGAGTGAGTGAGCTGCATTGGCTGGAGGGACCGAGCGAGGCGGAGGCGGGGGAGGAGGAGGAAAGGTTATGGGTGGGCAGGGGGTGGAGGCTCTGCTCTTGCATCTGGGCCAAAGAGACCCAGGAGGAGCTTCAGAGTTGCACCGGAGGAGGAGAAGGAGGAAAAAAGCCTTTTGCAGCCAGAGCCCTGGGAAGGTTTACTCGCGAGTAAGTAATTGGCGGGGGGGGTTGAGAGCTTTTCAGTCTTTCTGGGAGGGAGAAGACCGGGGCCGCGTGCTTTTTAAATGGGGAGTCTGGTATGAATCCGTTCCAAAAGGCCATCCGGAGGGGCTTGTCTTTTTTAATTGCCAGTTCCCGAAAAGCGCCCCCCACCCGGGAGCTGATCCCCCTTCCAATATTTCTCGCCCCGCTCCGGCCCCCTTTGCGGGCTGTCCTCAGCGCCGGCGTAATACAGCAGCTTGGGACGGCTGCTCCGAGTGTTGAGGTCCTCAGGGTTGTTTTAAAAAAAGAAAGGTTTGAGATCCTCAACTCTGATTCAGACCCGGCTTAGTTTTAGCTAAACCAGATGATGAAGGGTTAAATGGGTCGAGCCCACTGGGTCCTAGATCCGGCCAGATTGTTCTAGGCCGGGGCAGGAAGTTTGTCTTCTGGCAGTTGCAACCAATCTGGGGAGCAGGGAGCTTTTTCTTTGGGGGGGGTGCTTGTGGACCGAGGGAAAGGAAAAAAAGGTGTTGGACAGCTTATCTACAGACAGCAAAGAAAAAAATGTTTGTTTGTGTGTGTGTAAAAAGTGCCTCCACAGCCTGCGTGAGGAAGGAGACAGGGCTTTGCAAAGAAAGAAACGTTTTATGTAAAAAGTGTCTCCTCCTGCAGCACAATCACAATGCAAAATTGGGCCCTGCACATTTGCGTTTTAAATGACACAAACAAAAAACTTGTTTGGGCATTCATTTGCAGAACTCCCAGTACAGTATTAAGCAGGCTGGTTGCAGAAGCCTTTGAAAGTCCTGGGATGAAATTTGGGCCTTTAGGAAGCTAACAATCCCCTGGTTGTGTTTTGTTTCCAGTGGCAGAACTGGATCCACACACCATTGGACGGTGCACTATTGTTGCACATTAGCAGTCACTTGTAATGCTATTGTGCTGTGTATAAGGGGTGAGGGGGAACAGTTCAACACATGAAACTGCCTTATACTGAATCAGACCCTTGGTCCATCAAGGTCAGTATTGCCTACTCAGACTGGCAGTCACTCTCCAAGGTTTCAGTGAGAGGTCTGTCACATCACCTACTACTCAGTTCTTTCAACTAGAGATGTCAGGTATTCACATTGTGACTTCCTGCATGCAAAGCAGATGCTCAACCACTGACCCACATTGGCAAGCCCCTCCCCACATTGTGAATTACTGGAATGACAGCACAAGATCCAGCTATGTACAGATAAAGAAAGATCAGCAGATGGTAAGTGATATCCTGGTGAAACCTGCAAGGTCCCTGTGCTTACTAGTCACAGGCGTGTGGTGCTGTGAGCTGAGTAATTGTAGTGTATGCTGACCACCACCGGGGGCCAGCGAACAGCCAGAGCTTGGCTCTGGAAGAACAATGGGGAACCAATGGGAACCATGGCGGGAGATTCAAACCCACCAATGGTGACCAGGGGTGTGTCCCCAGGTATGTATATTGTTGGCCTGCCGGCCGTTTCTTCTTTGTTCTTGTTGTGTACCAAATAAAGCGTGCCATGCACCACGTCGTCGTCGGTCGTTTATCCATGCAGCAACCCACTACATAACAGTAATTTTGGCCGGGGCAAGGACCCTTGGCAGTATGCATGGAGTGCAACTCATTTCTTTCATCTGATATGCAGAGCAGATAGCCACATTTACCAAACCAAATCTGCACACACTTTAGTGACTCAAGACAGGGTTTAAGTACCCTAAACCATTGAACTGCCTGCCATTTGGTTTTTCTGTCATTTTATTTTCCCATCAGTCCCTGCAGCATCTTGTTCTGAGGACACAAGGCGAGTCCTACAGATTTTACCCCTGAGCACGGTGTAACGCTAATTCAGATTCATCCCAGCTGCATGTATGCA